TTAACATTTAAACTTACAAACATACATATACACGTATAGTTCAAATAAATGGAACTTAAGTCGAAGAATCGACTTTTCAGGAATATTCAAGCAGATAATCTCTTGAACATTATTAATTTTTTTTTGCTAAACGATGTGTTTTTCTTGNGTATAGTTCAAATAAATGGAACTTAAGTCGAAGAATCGACTTTTCAGGAATATTCAAGCAGATAATCTCTTGAACATTATTAATTTTTTTTTGCTAAACGATGTGTTTTTCTTGTTTTTTTTTGTTATATTTAGTATGCGAACTACCCACAAAACAATTTTATTTCTATTTTTTTTAATATCCTATAAGTGCATATCACCTTAAATTTAAAAAAAATCAAATACCGTTAGTTACATACTATATGGATTTAAAGTATTTCTTACTGTTACCTGCTGTTTTTTAGTTACTGTAAGTTGTATCTGGTGTTATTTTATTATGTAAATCAGTTACTTTCATACTAAAATAATTACCTGTCTACTACGTTCACTCGTATGTGTCTATTTACTAATACAAAAAAAAAAACAAAAAAAATACGAATCATTAGTGGTCGGAATTTCTATTTTAGACGTGATACTTACTCGTTCAATCACAACTATATATTTGTAACTACATCATTCGTACTCGTGCCAGTATACCTATTCTATTATATTTGAAATAAACTAAGTAATTATCTTAAGTGAATTTCTGATTTTCTCTAAACCTAAACCTCTAAAATATGCTTGTTATTCGCTTTTTTACTAAAATATAACTTGTATACGTTGAAATTGCATTCATCTGTGTATGTACATACATATAAACTAAATAGTTACACTACTCAAATCGACTATTCATAAAACTGATTTTGTAAGATTTTTTTCTTTTTTTGTTAATATTTCCCAAATACTTGTAACGTTGCTTCTTTTGACATTTCACTACTTCTCTCTTCTATAACTGTAATCATACTTAATTCGAATCGCAATAGTTCAAAACTAGACTCGTTTGTGTCGCAATTTCTCTGCTATTTGAAAAGAAAAATAGTCTTTTAAAAGTACTATAAAATTTTTGTCAGTCCATAGACAAAGTGTAGTTGTAAAATGTATGTTGCTATTATTTTAAAAAACTACAACAAAAAACAACAACCCATCAGTGTTTACGGCCACACACGCTAACTTGCAAAACGAAAGAATCAAATATTTAATATTAGCACTTCGTAAAGCAACAAAAAAACAACTGCTATAGCGCTGTTGTAATCTAAGTACTTAGTTGCTATATTTAGTACAAAATTAGTACAGATGTCCTTAGCACAAGCTAATTTTTAATAACTTACATAAATATATACTGTCTATGTGTGTCGCACAAAGAAAACACTAAATTATATACACACACGCGTACAAAAATGTTTGAAAAATTTACCTTTCTTTTCGAACTAACTAAATAATAACCGCAAAAATAACAAATGCCTATTTTTCTAAAATATATATTTTTTTTCTGTATATATTTTTTATTGCTTGGGTGGTGATTAACTAGGTGACATGACACGCGATAGAGAGGATGTAAACCGTAAGTATTTGAAGGTTTTGTGTGTTGTTTAAGTGTTTTTTTCGAAAGGTCACCAGTGTATCTAACCAGTGACATTTTTTATTTAAAATATCTTTTGATTTCATATTCACTTGTATTTATTTTTTGTATGTATATAAGTAAATACCATGCCCGAGAGAAAAGCCTTACTTCCCTACTTGCCTTTGAAGTTTATTAAAATGTTTATTATCTTGTATTTGGCCACCGAACTTGGGGGTTGGTTTAAGAGGATTTGATTCCGCAACAATCCGTGCAATCTGCAGCCATTTGGCGACTTTAATGGGTAGCGCTTTTATTTCAGGCGGTAATGCGTCTGGGATAGAACCGTGCCCGTGAACCGTATTGTCTTTCAGCGCCCCAACGCAGGCAGGCTGATGTCACTGAGCAGCTGAGTTGTCGATAAAGACATCTTCGGGCAGGATCTCATTGAACATTTTACGCCAGCGGCTGCTGACCGGTTGCCACCGGGCTACGAAGGAATAAAGTATAAAGGAAAATCAGTCGGACTACTGTATGCTTCACTCTTTCTATAAACTCAGAGTTCAGTTCAGGGCATTTTGCCTAAAGGTGAAAAGGTGCCAAGTTCGTTTTTTTTTCAAAATTTAGTTATTGATGCTGAATGGCAGGTAATACGAAAGGACATCGATTTTTCGTCTCTCCTGAACAATTTAAAAAGATGGACTTTTTATTATATATGTGCACTTTCTAAAAGAACATAAAATCCGAAATGATACGTAACCTCGAAGATAGGCTATTTTATGTTTAAATGTTAAAAACAAGAAATCTTATAGAGCAATTCTTATTCAGCGACTCAAAATCTATGGGAAATTACTATGTACATAGTCTTATCCAATGAACAATTATCAATTAGGCTACATTATTTATCTCTCTCAAGAAACTGAAATCGATATTTTTTCTATATATATAAAACAATTATTTGATATGAATGATTCTCTTTAAATAATGAAACGTCTCCCATCTTTGCCTGCTATTTTCCTGCCTTTAATTTTATAACATATATTATTAATTGAAAAGTAAATATAAATTTTTATTTCTGAAATGTCACTGGTTTTTAAATCCATTACAAAAAGCTCACATAATAGGTCTAATAGCTATAACAATTAATATTGAAACAAGTAAGTTGCGAAAAAGCCTGAAACCCCTGCCCCAAGTAATAAATTTCGTATATTAAGTATAGTTGTACTTTAAGTCCGTGATTGCTTTTCCTTTTAGTAAAACAAAAACATCTACATACGTATAAACTATAACCTAATATAAAATCAAAACTAAGTGTTATTACTATATATGTAAACAAACAAAAAAATTTAAAGCGGCTAACCTTTTCAAACATACTTAGTATGTATGTATGTAACTATAACTAAATAAATAACTACATATCTGGGGTGTTTCGCAATGATCCAAATGTTTCGGTTGAATAAACTAAAAGTTCGTAAAGCAAGGGTTGTTTGCCCCAGAATTCGTAAATGGCCGCGGCTTTAGAAGATAGTTGACGAGAAGGAGCTTTCACTGTCTTGCCGGGTTAAAACGTTAAAATGTTAAAAAAAGCTCTACACGCCTTTTCAATAATAAAATAAGAGTCCTCTAGTTGAGTAACAAAGAAAACTATTTGGCTCATTTTGAAACACCCTATATAGTACATACTATAACCAAACAAATGTGCTTAATACGTTTAAATGTATATAAAAATGTAGTTTGCAAAAAAAAAATCAATATAAATTTTGCTTATATTTTTTTCAGTTATAAATCGCAATGGCCGCCGTACGAACGGCACTGGTAACGGTAGTACAGGGATGCATATGAACTCCATAGCAGCGAAACAAGTTAACAAAGTGAAGCCAACAATTAACCGACAACAGGTTGAAGGTCAGGTTATATCACCCTCACAGTACAATAGGTGAGTAATGAAAATAATGAAATGAAAGCAAAAAAGAAAAAAAAATTATTAGTTTGAAAAATTATACAAGCTGCGTACATAGGTACATATGTTGCAAGTATAATGCTTAAAACATATGCAAATAAAAAAAAAAACTCTAAATCCAACGTGCTGTATTTATTAAAGTTAAGGTTTTATATAAATGTAGATCATAAGCTTTTAAGCCTTCAGCCATTTCAAAGCTTGTTTTTACTATGGAAAATTTAAATAATGCCGAATTCCGACAGTTGAAGAAAAATCAACGTACGCAGGCTTAGGCACAGTGTGAGTTGGTGCCAATGTTGCATTATTCACATTTTCAACTGCAAATAACAGTTGTTTGGACAAGCTAACAATCTTTTTTTTTAATTACCTCCTAGCACAAACAATAGTTTTTTTCAAAAATTTTAGATTTGAGCGAATAAATTAAAACACATGTTTGGGTTTTTTTTTTGGAGGTTAACTTTAAAGAGAGAAAAAGGGCGATGGAGGTGCAGCATTCCTCTTTTTGGGAAAAATGTTATCAGCTACATTCTAATAACATTGTAGGAAAAATCTCAATTTTTAGAATGACACCAAAAACGCCTAAACATGTCAACTTAATGTTGGGTCGTAGATTATGGCTCTGTATACCGTTTTTCCCACGCCGGTAGTTTTCCCAAGATATTTTCATTTTCGTGAAAAAATTTTAAATTTTAATAAGAAAACTAATTAATAAAATAACAAGACTTTTATAATTTTTTATAATTTGTATTAAAGCCTATTCTTTTGAAAAAAAATCAAGCTACTATCGACAAGAATCGGTGGATAAATAAACCACTGTATTGACTTAGGTTTTCTGCTAATTTTCGGCATTTTTAATTGTATTCTAGCCAAGAGTGATAGAGATTGGCGTCATTGTGTTCATATTTTTGACGCTGACTGTACACATACAGTGACTTCAAAAAGCGATCATATGATGATTTTTTAAATATTAAACATTTAATTTTTTTTTAATATTGTTCATCCTTAATGCTTTTCGGACAAAAAGACTGTATATTACTAGGAAAAAATTCCGTTTCGCAATATCTTTATTTACAAGCATTTTTACAATACCGAATTTTTTTTAAATAGTTTTTCAATAACATAAAGGAAGAAAATTGATATGTTTAACAAAAGCCATATAAATCCAAATTTCTAACTTTGTGCAAAAATTGGAAAAATTCAATAAAATTGTAAAACGACAAATTTCTAGTTTGAAGCGTCTACAAAATAGCGTTGATTTTTTTTAAATACTTGCTGCCTGCGTCACACATTTTCTTCCATATAAAGTTGCAATTTGTTTGATACGGAAGGAATTATCAAAAAATGGTATAGGAAAAATGTTCACCAAAATAATTTTTTTTTTTTTTAGTTTTTAGAAAGTTTTGGGTGTGCAGTTTTATATATGTATTATTAAAGCTAACTAGTTGCTAAGTGCGTGCGTTGGTAGTTTATAATTTTTTTCACTAAAATTTCGAGCACATCTGTATGCGAAATGGGAAATAACAGCTTTCGGTTTGTTTGTCTCGTATTGTTTATATTCTTTTTATATATGTTATTTAAAAGCAACGCGAGCTCTTAGCCACTTGCAACTTGCACTTTATTGTACTAAGCCAAAATTATTGATTGGAACAGGAGAGTCGATTTTCTTTAAAATTGCAAATTTTTCTGCACTTTGCCCTAAAAAATTTAATACAAACAAATAAAAATTCAAAAATCGAGCTCATTTGGTCTCTTGCTAGTTTTATAGACTTTCATTAAAAATATATATATTTTATTGAGTAAAAATGAAGGCTCCAGTGAATTATAAACAGTAAATGCCATTTTTGAGCCACTTTGCAGCGGCCGCCGGTTCCTTTTCATATGGGAAAAAAGTGCTAGAACCATCCGCAAAATTTGTAAAACCAATACGAATTTTTAGCCGCTTCCAACTTGCCTTTTTATTGAGTATAACCGAAAAGTAACATAACCGAAATTTTATACAAATTTAAGTTAAAATGTTTCAAATTTTGATGAACATGTGTAAAATTTTTCCTAATTTTGTATTAAGTTTGAAACTTTCATTTACTACTTATATGTGGTTCTGGTTAAAGCATTTATAAAAAATTACAACAAATTTTTGCCAGAAAAACATTGTGAATATTCAGTAAAAATAGCCATGTGAACGCTTGTTTGTGTCACTGTATATACATACCACTTTCGGGTCGATTTACTTATGCTCTTGAAAAAAAAAAGTTGCTGCAGAAAGTTGAGGCATAGTGGAAACAAGCCTTAGAAAGCAAAAAAATATATTTAAAGAAATAGAGCTGTAGAAACAGTTTCAATAACTAGCGCAAGCTTCTAGTTACATACTTATTATGGAATTAAATGGATATGTATGCATATCAAAAATATTAGTTTAGCTGCTTTCCATGCGAGAGATTTTTGAATCAAATAACTGAATATTCTTTCTTTTTTCTAGTAACAGTTAGTTTTCTAGTTAAGTTAGTTTAATTTTAAACCTTGTAGGTGATTTCAGTCAGTGATTTTCTTCATATTTTGCGCTATTTTCTGCCAAATCATCGACAAGTTCATTTCACGCATTTTTTCGTCCAAATTCTAAAACAAAATTCATTTACAATTGGTTTTTTTTTTGTGTGTGTTTTAATTATAAATATTTAACAGCAAGCGTTTGTAAAATATGCAGCTTACTAATTGTATCTAATAAAAAAAAAAAATACCAAACAAATGTGTTATAAATATACTTACTTGCTCTTTGTCACTAAATCTGAAATATGTTTCTCTACTAATAATTATGCATATGTATATGTTTCTAAGCTATGTCAAATCCAAATAATATCAATAACAAAAACAACAAAAAATAACATGCAATGAAAATTCTTAATGAAAATTTTGTTTCAGGCCGCCAGAAAACGATGCTAACCCATATGCGGGCTATCAACTCGCTTACGAAGTTAAAAAGCTCATGTATGCGCCCATTCTAAACTAATACAAAAAAAAAAAATATTCTAATGCCTTAACTTAAAATTTCACACAATATGTAGTTGTTTGTCACTACTATTCTACTACTTTTCTACTCCTTTTATTACATACTTACGTATTTGCAACCATTTGAATAACTATCGTGTTTTGTATGTTGTTGTCTGCTTAAAACAAGCAATCATACATGTAAATTTTGTTACTACACATGTACATGCATACATAGTTTTTGTGATATATTTGAATGTATTTTGCTATACAATTTGATGTGAAGTATGTATGTAATTTCATCGACAATATTCGCATACATACATACATATGTAGATACTCGTACAATGTACAAATACTTGTATGTGCACGGTCACAATTCACATTTTGCAAGTTTTTTCATACACTTAAAATATTTTCAATGATAATTTTTGGCTGGGAAAAAGGCAATATTTACTATTACCATGTATGTTGTAAATGTTTGCCAGCGACGCAATATAATCATTGTTTTTTAATTTATGCATTTAAAAAAATCATATGGATATTTTATGATTTTTATTTTTTCGCTCCAATGTAATAATTGTATTGAGTTTTATTTTTTCACTTAATATGTAGTGTCGTATTGAAAAAACCCAAAATTGAATAGGAGGAATAAGTGTCAAAATGTTCAGGCCAGTTTCAGTTTATGCCGCCGTCTCCACGGCCTTTAAGGTTTTGTAAAAAAAAAAGAAAAATTTAAGTGGAAAAATAAAACCCAATAATAATTTTTACCTCTGAACGAAGAAAAGGAAAATCAACTTATGTATAATAATTTTTTTTTTTTGCAAAAAATAAAAATTATAAAATAATGATTAAAGCTGATTTAAGTTATTTCGCATATAATGATTACCATCCCTGATTTTTGCAATACCCTCTACGCATTTTTTTTTTGTTTTGAAACCTAACTAACTAACTCGTACATAAATACATACATCTGTACATACTTCCCCAGTCGGCATATTTAAGAGCCCCACCATACAAAACATGAGAAATAGGCAACAAACCGGCAACATAATTTCAAGGAATGAAAAAATTAGGAAGCGCCATGGCGAGTGAACCAATTGATTGCATTTTTAAATTATAATTAGGCATTCTAAAATAAATGATATATTAAAAATAATAAACTCGTTCCACATAACTCTTGCTCAAATATCACATGTTGCAATAATAAAGCGATAAGAAAACGACTCATTCAGGTAGTAAGAAAACGACTCGCCAAAACGAGCTGCCGTCGGCGGACGTTTTAGAGCGACTGTTAATAAGAAATCGATCTTTACAAGATCTTCGAATAGACTCTACTTTCAAAGGCAGATTAAAAGGTGTGTTTCCAAACTCCATTAAAGTCAAATCTAATAAAAAAACCGTAATAGGCGCGTCGGAGCGCGCCTGGTATCAAGTCGAATTTCTGCTGTGTCTTTTTGTGTAATTATAGTCGGCCGCTGTGGTGTAGTGGTAAGCAGTGCGCGCTTCCGCTCCGCAACGCCTGGGTTCAAGCCCTGGTCAAAGCAACATCGCAAAAAATATAGAAAAAAGGTTTTTTTCTTAACAGCGGTCGTCCCTCGGCAGGCAATGGCAAACCTCCGAGTGTATTTCTGCCATGAAAGACAGCTTCTCATAAAAACACAATCGCCGTTCGGAGTCGGCGTAAAACTGTAGGTCCCTCCGCTTTGTGTGAAAACAGCAAGGCGCACGCCACAAATCGGAGGAGAAGCTCGGCCAAACACTAACATATGTGTAAGCGCCAATCTATATTATATTTTGTGTAATTTTCCCCTTGCATGGAAAGCGATAGTAAAATCTTTCATTTATATTGTAGTCGACCATAACTTGGCAAGGCTTATCTACCGCATGTTCAATGGAAGAACTGGGTCTCCCTCTAGCCTAGAATGCGTATATATATCCCATAAGGGGCCGTTATCTCATCTTTTCTCTATATGGCCTCGTTAACAATGCCCTGGAGTAGCTGGAAAAGAAAGACTGTCGGATTATGGCCTAGTCTGACGAGATGGCACTCGTTGTCTAATTATGGAAAGATCGGCATCCTATTTCTCACACCAGGAGATACAATATAAAGTGTCTAAAGCCCAACTCCCCATATTGGTGACGTTCCACTCTTGGTCTCTGAAAAGTACAAGTATTAGGGCGTGATCCTGGAAACCAGACTATTCAACTACTGACAAGCGAGTAAAATATGACATCAGCTATAAAAACGGCATAAGGAAGGGGTGGGGCATTTCTTCAAAGGTAGTCTATTTTAGTTAAGAAGATAAATCGCATGCAAGAAGCGTACTCTATCACTATGCTTAGCGTTGTACCTGTGGAGAATGCCGGTAAGAGTGCCGCCTTCTGCTTCGCCGGAAACACTGGTTTATGTTAAAATCCGGCACTCGGCGACCTTATAAAGCTTCGACTTGATGCCAGGCGAAACGGGCAAGTGCGTAGCAGGCTGACTCCGATTGGATCCTTTTCTATACATATGCTTATCAGAGGTTAGCGGTAGAGTTACATTCCTTGAAATAGAGGTGGAGTAAACATATTCACGGATGGATCGGTATTGATGGCAGAGTTGAAGTTGGACTGCTAGAAACTCTGCGTTAATATCAAAAGAAGGCTTCCCGATTTCTGCAGCGTATTTCAAGCAGATATGGTAACTATAAAGGAAGCAGTCGACTGACTACGTACCAATTTAATAGATAAGATGTATACTCGGACAGCCAAGTGGCAACCAGAACTTTAGAAAAGCTTATGCTGCAATTTCTCACCTCTCCCTCGGTCAACTAGGATTACCGTCAAACCAAGCTGATTTTGGGTTCAGAGCGCAGTAAATTTGCAGCAAACTGCATGGCTGATGTATTGGCAAGTAGCAGAGAATTTCTTGTGGCAACCTGCGGGCTGTTTCTGCGCAGATAGGCTTTTAGTGTCCGTAAGCTTTGGTTGAAAACCGCGAAGTTCTTCTGTGTGGTAGTCGATCAAAAGCCCGCGTTCAAAAATGTTTCTTCAGCTGGCTAAAACCCAACTATCGGTTCTAAGAGCAAGTCTGGCTGTGCACTTCCAATAAGAACGCATGTTATATTCTTCGGAGCGGACTGGAAAATTTATTAAGTGGTAACACAATAAATAATAAAAGAATTTGCTTCGAAACATCAATAATAACTGCGTGAGGGCCCTTATATTACTTATTCTGCCGACTGGTTCATCTTCACAAAAATACATACAATAAATGTTACTGCCCATCTTCTTATCATTTGACACTATAACCGCCTAAGGGCGCTGTTACTCAGACGATTATATGATCTCTGGTCACCAACTGTTGTTGGTTTCACTGCACAATGAAAATTTTGTGTGAGAGAGAGAGAACTGAACTGCATGACCAGCAAACACCCGCTAAAGAAAGCAACAACAATTGGTGACCAGAGATCATATGATCGTCTGCGTTACGGTGCTCTAAGCGATTTTGTCCGAGTTCAATAAAGTAGTACACCAATAGTGTGCCAACTGACGCCAATTGGAAATGCCAAGTGAAGCCAAGTCCCTGCTCATAGCATACAAAGTTACCGACAGAGTTGGGCTAAATTTATTTAAATGGTGATTAACCAATAAATTAATAGGGATTTTCGTTAATAGTAAATAATATTTGATTTACGGGGCAATTCTGGCCACTGTCTTTCAGCTCACCACAGTCTTTCGAAGGCAGAAGTCTTTCTTAAGAAAATTTTCAATTCTGGCAACTATCTTGAAAGCTCTTTACTGTCTTTCGAAAGACTAATTGAAAGATCTGCTAACGTTAAAGAGTTCGCCTTTTAACAATAAGTTTTTTACAAATTAAATTTAGTTAAAAAAAAACATATATACATATTTTCCTTTTTAAAACAAAAAACTTATAAATAAAAGAAAATTAAATTAAAAAAGGAAGAAAATTGTCAAACCAGAAGGGAATAGAAGTTAAGAATTAAATTCTATTAACACTATTTATATTTAAAAAAGAAGGAAAAAACAATTAAGAAAATTTAAATGAAATAAAAAACATATTTTTCTTTTTAAAGCAATCAAATCCAAAAATTAAAAGAAATTCATTTAAAAAAATAGTGACAAATTAAATTAAAAAAAAAATAAATCATTTCTAAAAAGTACCTAAATGAAATTCGTTTTTATAAAAAACTAAATAAAATAAATTCCTTAAAATTAAATGAAATTAAAAACTACTATATAGAAAATTAAATTAAGAACAAAAATTAAAATTAAAATTAAACAAAGAAACGTAAGAGTTTATAAAAATTAAATTACATTAAAAAATATACATATGTGTATTTCCTTTTAAAAACAAAAAAATCACAAAAATTATTATAAAAATGTAGATTAAAAAAGAAAAAAACAATTGCCCTGCGCCAAGACTCGAACTCGGATATCTACTTATATTGGCACGCCTGTGCTTTGCCCACTCGGCTACTGCAATTATATGACTGTTGGACTTACGCGAGCTAAATGATATACAGGTGCTTTCTCTCAAAATAGCTTTCACCACGAGTCCTGAATGAGAAAGCTATTTTTTTTTTAAACTGTTGTGCTAGAATAACAAAAGTCTTTCGAACTATCTTGCCATCTGTATTCCATTTGTTTTACGAAAGACTTCTTAGCCAGAGTTGCCCGAGTTATTTCAAATAACAAATAAAAAAAAAATTTCAAATAAATAAATAACAAATAAATTAATCCAAATAACAATTCATTCGAATAAGGTCCAAGGTCTGCCTACAGACGTTGCTAAATACATATACTTCGAGCATGCTGGTCTTTTGGTTCCTCTACTTCAATTCACTATCACTTCGAACTCGACTCGCTTTGGTTTGCTTTCTCCACACATTCAGTAACTACATACATACATACGTGCTTGTTCACATTAACAAGCAGCGTTTTTAAATCATTATTATTGACATTCAATATTTAAAATGTGTTTTTTTTTACTCATAAATCTAATTTTAATTAATTTTGCGTTGCATTGCATAATTTGCCTTGAATTATTAAAATTGTTACATATGTGTCGTTGTAGTTGTTTTTTTATTTTTATAATTCTTGTCTTCCTTAATCTATGTATTTATGTATAGATATCAATTGAGTGTGGCATTTAAAATAAGCATCTAAACAATTTATATTAAATGTTTACCTGTATCTCTCTCTCTCTCTCTATGTATGTATATGTATCTGTACATGGCCATTAAACACTTTGATACTCATTTTGCACAATCTCAGCAACATTAAATGCATTTGATGTGCATTCTCATTACTCTGAATTACCACATAAATACACACTGATTACGTCATTCAGACATTAAAAATTTCGTATTGCGTACTGATCATAATAAACAGTTAAAAGTACAATGACATACACAGAAAATAGCATTTGTTAGATTGATAAGTAAAAACATTCAAAACCATCACTCAAAATACTAAACAATCTCTAAGGTTTTTTGCCTTTAAGATGTGTTAACCGAAAAACGTCAAATTAATATTTTATTTACCAAAAATGTATGTAGGTTCTAAAACCTTGCTATTCGTGTAGAAATAATTTCATAATTAAGGGACTTTTTTTCAAAAATTTATTTTTTATAAAGAAATAAAATAAAAATAATTTCGCTTCGCTGATATGGTGATTAGGACTCGATACTCGTTCTGCGATTGCCGCAAAGAAGTATACTGCTTTAACAGAGGATTCTCACCCTAATAATGATTTTGTTACACTAAACCACTAGCGTTCTCAGATGAAATTACAGAGACTTGTAAGTTCTACCTTTGGCATACCTGCCAGTCGATCTCTCGAGTTCAAAAGATATTTTAATGGAAAATTTGTTTTACTAATTTAAAGTCGCCTTTAACCCCATTGTTATTTGTACCATAAGCGTGCAGCTTAGACAGTCCTTGTATTGAGCTTCGCTTATTCTCAGAAATTGTATTTTTCTATACTTAGATAGATTGATATAGATTTTGGAATCTATTATATGTACATACATACATACATATGTAAGGCACAACTATAATGTGAGCAAAGCGGAAAACATTCACTTCACATGTAGATTGAACGGACGAAAAAATTCTCATTTTGATGCGCACAATTGACTTTTTTCAACATAAATACAGACATGCTATCTTCTTCATACATATTTACATACATAATATATATACGACTTTTAACTAAAATTTATATTTTGATATATTTTTGTGTATTTTTTAAACTAAATTAATATGTTTAGTCTCTCATTGGCTATATTTTCATATGCTTAATATTTTTAATTTTATTTTATTTGATTATAAATATTATATGGAGTAGGAATACGAATATAACCTTCAGTATCCATAACTTAGGGAATTTCCTCACATTTAAGCAATCTATAAATACATTTATCGATAATTAAATCGGCAATTATAAAAATAAATAAGACTTAAATTCTGGCGAAAAATATATCAGCGGTAAATTTAGCAATGTTTATGTATAGATATCGATCAATGCATTGGTTTGGATAGGCATGTCGACAAAGGTATCAATTAACATTTAAATACATATTTATATATAAATTTCTCTCGTAGGGAATTTCGATAACTTTTTAAAAATTAGTTTTTTCCTGAAATTTTAGCAAACAATAACAACATTATTAAATATATTTATTTGTAAATTTATCAATACTTATGTATGTATATTGATTAATACACATTGATTTCGATAGGCATGTCGACAAAGGTCTCAATAAATATTTAAATACTTATTAATATATAAACTTCTCCCGTAGGAATTTTCGATTAAGTGTTTTTTGATTAAATTTTTCCTGAAATTTTAACAATCGATAACAATTAAAAATAAATATATCGAGAACCAGATATCGATATGTATTACTTTCTCTTTATCGATAACGATGTTTGCGTTGTGACGTATACAAATTTTAACTCTATTTTAAATATTTTTGGAAATGGGAAATTACGTTAATTAATTTATGCACATTTTATTTGTAATTGTAATTGGATTTATATGCTCATTTTCAAGTTACAAAACAACTCAAACTCACATCTCAAATCCTCGCGCTAAGCACTCAGTCGTAACCAAACAATCGATAACATTTTCCCAGTGAAAACACGCATAAGCATTTCGAAACATCAACTCGTAGCATCCAATAGTTTTGTTTTGAAACATTAAAAAAAAAAACGTTTAAATTAAAAACAACTAATAATATTTACATACATACATACATACTTCGGAGTGAATTTTCTTGTTATGACTGAGCACAACTACTTATACAGCACAAATACTCATACATCAATACGTACGTTTGTCCGATCCTTTGATTCGTTTTATTCCATAAGTATTAATGTCAAAAAAAAAATAACTTCTTACTAATTTGTGGTTATTTGTAAGCATTCATTCATATGCATACATACATACCTAGCTATATATTTACTTACATTAGTATAGTAGTATTGCACTGCGGTTGGGTATTTGTTCGCGCTGTTTTTATCTATAATTAATTATCTTTATATCTCGACTTTTCTCATTTGCTGCGCTCAGGCCAACTAGCCGGAGTTCCGGCACTGGTACACAAAACCAAAATGGTGGCGTCACACTACCGGCCGGTATTGCGGATGATCAATCGAAGGATTTCGATTTTGAAAAGACCGAAATGAAGTACGATTCGACGGGTATGTTCCACTGGAGTCCGGCTAAGAATCTAGAAGACTGCATACTGGTGAGCGTAACAAATTGCATTTAATTGCGAAAAACTATAATTCAAATGTATGTATATTTTTTTTTATTTGCCACTTACTTTTGCCATCAGGATCGCAATCAAGCGGCAATGACCGTTCTAAATGGTCATGTTGTCGTATGCCTTTTTGCCGATCCAGATTCGCCGCTAATCGGATTGCGCAATTTGGTGATGCCACTGCGCGCCTCAAACTTTCACTATCACGAACTGAAGCATGTGGTGATAGTCGGTTCGGTGGACTACATCCGACGAGAATGGAAAATGTTACAGAATTTGCCAAAGATATCGGTGTTGAATGGTTCGCCGCTGAGTCGCGCCGATTTGCGTGCCGTTAACGTGAATCTGTGCGATATGTGTTGTATATTGTCGGCGAAAGTTCCTAGCAACGACGATCCGACGCTGGCCGATAAGGAGGCCATTCTCGCGTCGCTCAACATCAAGGCGATGACCTTTGACGATACGATCGGTGTACTGAGTCAACGTGGGCCCGAATTCGATAATCTGAGCGCGACCGCTGGCAGCCCCATTGTGCTGCAACGGCGCGGCTCCGTTTACGGCGCGAATGTGCCCATGATAACAGGTAAACTGCATCGCACTAAGTTGGCTGTGTTTGCGATTAAACGACCAAATCACGCGCGACACGTTCATCCAGCCGGTGACGGATGGCACAAAGTTGGCTGGCACACACATGGATGTCTTCTTTTTTTTTATTAGTTAATATTAGTTTGACGAATTTTTCTTATCACATTGATTTGTATGTTTGTTTGATTGTGTGATTTTTTCGTATGCACTCAAGCACTAGATTTGTAGGTATGTAGTTAGTTAGAAAAATATATACGAATTATAGTAGTGAGCGCTTTGCAATGATCCAGATTTTCTGCGAAAAAATCCAAAATAAAATACATTGCAAGGCATTCACGCGTCGTTTGTGAGCCAACTTTGTACCAATCATACGCCCGGTCATGAACGTATTAGTCGCNTATATACGAATTATAGTAGTGAGCGCTTTGCAATGATCCAGATTTTCTGCAAAAATCCAAAAATAAAATACATTGCAAGGCATTCACGCGTCGTTTGTGAGCCAACTTTGTACCAATCATACGCCCGGTCATGAACGTATTAGTCGCATTAGTCTGCTCACGCCATATTCTACAATTCGCTCGCCGCCTAGTTAAAGGTCAAAGCGTTAAACTTTGTTTTGGTTGTTGTTTCAAGAACTGGTCAACGATAGTAACGTGCAGTTTCTCGATCAAGACGATGATGATGATCCGGATACGGAACTATATCTGACGCAGCCGTTCGCCTGCGGTACCGCCTTCGCCGTTAGTGTTCTCGACTCGCTGATGTCGACGGTAATTTAAATTAAACTACATACCAGTAGCTTCCCTTACCTACTAACAAAAACAAATAAACAAACAGTTAAAAAATGAAACACCAGAAACACTATCTCTTTGGACCTCTTTTTGGGACTGCCTACAACTTTTGGGCTACAACTTGCATCCCACATACTAAATCAGTTTAATTTGCTCATTTATTTTTCGTTTTACTTTAGACGTACTTTAATCAAAACGCTTTAACGTTGATCCGCTCTCTAATCACCGGCGGCGCTACACCAGAGCTGGAGCTCATACTCGCCGAAGGTGCTGGTCTGCGTGGCGGCTATAGCACCGTGGATAGTCTTAGCAATCGTGACAGGTTGGAATTTTAGTGGATAATATTTTCTATTCATTTTTTGATCTATTTCGTTTGCATACTTAGATGTCGTGTTGGCCAAATATCTCTGTACGACGGACCATTGGCTCAATTCGGTGAATGCGGCAAATATGGTGATCTATTTGTGGCGGCGCTCAAGTCGTACGGCATGCTATGCATTGGCCTCTACCGATTTCGGGACACGAGTTCAAGTTGTGATGCGAGTAGCAAGCGCTATGTTATAACGAACCCACCCGATGATTTTTCACTACTGCCAACAGATCAGGTGAGCCTTAGTATAGTAAAATAGCAAGCTTTATGCGAAGTAGTATTGCAACTTTACAGAGTTTAAATTTTATCAGAGGTAAAGGTACAAGTAAAAACTTTGAAGTTTTCAAGGATTTTTCAGTACCAGTCAGAGATTTTTCAGACTATTCGTGTTTTACCATTCGAAAATTTTTCAAGATTTTTTACAAAGTTGCAAGATTTTTTTCGGAACACAAATTGTTCTATTTTTCGATATATTACGGCACTTTTTTAATTTTCTTGGAATTCTTTGGTGTTTTTCGAAATTTTTTTCGTTACTTTTCTGGGTACTTGATGTTTTGTATCGGTATTTTTTCGATTATTTTTTTCTTAGTATACATACTTCGGGTATTTTCGAAACTTTCCGGAATTTTTCGAATACTTCCCGTTCTATTTCTTCCGGACTTTTTCAAGATCTTTTTCGCGACATCTGATTGTTTTTTTTTTTTTGCTCGGAATAATATAAAGCAAACTCTTCGTACACAACAATAATCGGTTTACCTCGCTTAAAATAAAAAATTAAAAGAGTCAAAAATAAACTGTTTGTTATTCGTTGTAAAATGCATCCGATCTCTGACATTTTTTTTACAGAAGAAACATATAGTGTGTGATAGATATTTTAAGACCCTTCGGTTTTAAAGAGCCGAAATATTTTCAGTCTGAGTAGGATCAAATTTAAACCCGGTCATAACCATGCAATGCGCATTGATCAATAAGGATAAATACATATTTGTGTATATCGATAACGAATACGATATTACGATTTTCCGTATAATAAGTATTGATACCGATATCGGTTAATATATCTACAAAGATAGACAGACAGATGTTAATGAGCCTTTTATGCCTTAAACTCATCATAATATTTCTTCAAAGCCTGAGTGGATGTGCTCTGCCTTCGGCCATACTGCGCCTAAACTATTCTCACTCACTGTGTCTCTTCAACCAAATCCGAAAAGCAACGAAGATAACTGGACCATCTTTCTAGCATTTGCATTTAACTTCCAAATTTTCAACATCCTGAAAGAATACTTTTAATTTGTCTTTAGGAATGGTAAATTGGATTAGCTCTTCTCCTTACTCCTTTTTAATTGATATTTAAACCTATTGCAAGGAATACGTCAGGCGATCTGCTACCTAATTGGCCTGTATTTTTCTGCGGTTATACTCAGCAAGAGAGTTGAGATTTTCTATAAACTCTAAAACTAGAAAGAATTTAATCTCAATTGAAAAGAGGTGACCTTTAGTGCCGCCTAACGACTGTCCGTTGAAATTAGAATGCGTCATTATGGTATTTCGAATGTAAGTTAAATTTCGCTAACGGGCTAATGACGATAACGGTAGCTACCTGCCCCTATGCCTTCTGGGGGCATGGGGCATGTGTTATCGACATACATACATAACGATAATATCGGCAAAGCTTTCGTTAAATATGTACATTTCAATCAAATTTAACCGAAGAAAGACTGGGTGCATAGAGGTGCTCACTACCACCCGGCAGAGCCTAGGTTCAATCCATGGTCAGACCACTATGATAAGCAAAATGGCTTATACCTGGGGAACATAGCGGTTATGATCTTTACGATTTAACAATTTACAAATTTAATAATTATTTTGTGATTTCAATTTTTCGATCCAAAAAAAATAATTTGTTTTGAACGTTTATTTTTTCTCTAAAAAATAATCATTTCTTTGTGTTTCTTATTTTTTCGATAAAAAACAATCATAGTTTTTGGATTTATCTTTTTCGATAAAAAGTAATTGTTATTTTGTGATATTTATTTTTTGGATAAAAAATAATCGTTATTTTTGGGGTATTTCGAAGGCGACGTAAAATAGTACATTTCTTCCATTTGTGACACAATCAAGTCACTTACACTATGGACAACAAATGGAAGGTATTTTAAAGATCCCTATTTCAAAAATATTTTAAACAGTGTTGCCACATATTTTGAATCGCATTTAATTTAATTTTTTGTTTAGAAAAAAGTAAAATATTACTATTGAGAGAAGGTTCTTAAACAATGCTTTCCCTATATACAAAATTGTATTCCTTGTGATAGTAGTGTAAGGTTGCCACTTTCTTTCGATTCTGATGAAAGGTATTGTTGAGGACTTTGGTGAGAAAATATTTTCGATCAGGGTTGCCACCTAAATTTTTTAGTAAGAAATAGATAGATATCGAAATTCATTTTTTTTTTTCAAACATATTTTTTAAAGCTTTCCAAATGACCAGTCTTTGATATCCAAACCTTGAAAAGGTTGAAAAGTATATGCACACCGGGCAAAGCTCGGTCAACCTGGTAATATGCATTTACATGAGGCGATTTGTTGACGGGCGATAAGCCTGCCTCATGTAAATGCAGCTTAAGGTAAATAGGAGAAACTCTGCCAGGCACTTAGCAATAAAAAACCATTCTATAAGAATTTTTCACTAAGGAAGAAATATAAAACCGAAAGGGCAATCGATATCTATCTTAAATTTTTTACACATTTTAAGTAAAATTATACAACCTTAATGCTATGTCGTTAATATTTCTTTCTTACTTTCTCATTTTTGCTCCCAACAATTTATTCAAAACTTAATAATCTTTCTTTATATTTCAGGTTTTCGTATTAATGCAATTCGATCCGGGCTTAGAGTATAAACCGGCCGCTGTGCGTGCGCCAGCTGGCGGTCGTGCTGCCAACACACAAGGCTCCGGGGTCGGTGGGGGTGGTTCAAACAAGGATGATAACTCTTGATTGTTACTGTGTAGCGCCTTAACTGATGGTCCTTACTCGTACATTTGAACAATGGAGCAAACGATCGGGTACAAAATAGCGCATTTCTGGCAATTAATAATCGGCAAAATATGGCAAAAATTTCTAAAGGCAATGCAAAATGTATCAAACAAAAAGTATTAGATAACACAACGGAAAGTTCGTGTTCTAAGTAGTATCGCCAATGAAAACTGATTGTGAATTGGAAAAGAAAATTACCTATATGGAAAAAATAACAATTGTATGTAGTACTTGGCAGACCAAGTAAATGCGCTATTTTGTACGTTTATATTTGCACAGACATTCGCACAAGCAAACCTCAATGGTATTCTACATAACAAAATGAGGAATGAGACCAAACTACTTAAACAATTTTATATCGATTTAAAGCAAATGTCTTTGCAAATATAAAATAAAACTCCAATAAAAAAATATATACACAAAACTGATTCACTGGATCAGTAGAGTAAAATCCATCGTTCAAATGGTTTAAAGATTGCTTCCCACACCATTCCGTCAAACTCCTCTAACTTCTTGATAAATTTTTCTAAAATATATTTATAACCTGTATTTATTTTTATTAATTTAAATAAAAAAAATAACAAATTAAATTTTTTGCTTAAGTATATTATTTATTTAGTTAAACAAAAATTTATTTTAATTTTAAATTTATCTTTAAATATTTAGATATTTTTGCCATTTATTCTTGACTGCACTTGCATCCTCTCCCATATAGAAAGACCTACCTTGTAGCTTAACTTTTAAAGTTAAATCGTATAAATATTTACAATAAAATTTAGTTATGTATGAACTTTTCCAGAGAAAAAAAAAAGTTGATTGTAGCTGTGTAACCATAGCTTTTTAAGAAATTTTATGTTGTTATTATTTTATATATTACATATTTGTTGTTGTGCGGAATTACTTATAAGGACATACACATATATATATATATATGTTTAAATACATCAAAATTATTGCTAAGAAATCTTAAGTAAGAGACACACAAGAGATCGCCTGCACACCTACACAGAATATGCTGTTGTGAAAAATCGAAAATGTTTTCATGACTATTAAATTTTTTCGATTTGGCATATAAATATCTAAATTTTTGTTCAGAGAAATTATCTAGTTCGTTCTGTACTTATCTTTGAAGAACTCGTCGTTCGTTCGCTGTTTTAATTTCATAACTCAAGAAAAACGGCTTCTAAATTTTTAGTTAAGTTTTTCCTTTCAAATAAAATAATAAAAAAAAAATTTTAATTTATTTCATAACGATAATGAGAAATTTTATTGCAGAGTATAAAGCTATTAGCGAGTTGCTTACATTGTGATCAAACTGTAGTTGCTTCAGTTGTCCCTTAACAAAATTTAAGGTAGTAAAATTGCAAAAAAGACAAAATAAGGATATTCTTATGAGATATCTTAAAGGGCAAACATCGATAAAAACATTTTTTTTTTTATAATTATGACATTCTTGCGGGAAATTAACATTGCCAGGTTTTGACGTTTTTATTAGCTGTTGAAACGAAAACTTTTTGGGCTCAAATATGACTTTTTTATAGAGCTTTCGGAAGGCAATGACATAGTTTTCGGTTACACCGCTTTTCAGGCCTTCAACAAGCGACTCAGTTGTATGCTTATAAAATGGAAGGCAGGTGTAGGTGACTTAGTCAATTTGCGCTATTTGACTCAATGACTCTAGCTCGGTTTTTAAGTCAACTCAGTGAGATATCATAACTAAATTATAACTCATTTTCTTGGTTTTTCAATTAAGTCGCGGTTTCAGTCAACATTTTCCACATATTTTATTCTTTCTTCTTCTTTACTTTTACTATTTATTCTGAGTTAGGACTCAACCAATTGACTCACTGGTAAAAAAAAAAAATAACTGAACTACTGCGTCAGAATTTTTTCGGAGAGTGAGTCCGAGCGAGCGGCTCTTTGCTAGGAGTCAGCTCACTAACTCAACTCGGTGCTGAGCTTGAAATTCTTGGCGCTGAGTTCAAACTTTAATTTCAAGCGGGCGCTTTCATTGCTTTAAAGATCCAGGAAGAGCAGAAAAAGGAATGGAGAGCAAAATATGATTTTGCCGATTATTTTCTTTCATATTAGCGGCCCCTTACTACATGAATTCATGCCAAATAGATATACGGTAAATAAAATATAGCAAATTAGGCTTTATGAGACGTTAGCGAAGTTAAAAACAACTGCTGTAATCTAAACTCCACAACAAGCTTTTCAGGCGTTATGTCTTTCGGCGCTCAAGCCGATTATTTAGTTAAAGCCTTCGATGAAAGAATAGCGTTCTTTTGTGTGTCTACAAAAAACTTAGTCCCGTAAGCTCAAAGTAAAACAAATTTCATTGTTTGAAACACAAAAAATATCGTTTCATTTTAATTCTAAAAAGTTTTTTATTTAATTTTAGTTTCATATATTTTATTTTTATTTCTTTGTACTTATGTAGTTTCAAATAAATATTTAATATATGAATCCAATTCCTTATTCAATATTGGCTTTGAGTAGCACTTCATTTTCCAAAATTTTTCACAAATCAATATTTTTTATGTATCTACATATTTATTATTGTAAATGGTTGTGCATAAGACTAATATCTATTAACCAATTAGGAAATTTGAACGCGTATGGTTTGGAAACCTACCACTCGAAACTTATTTCCCCACGCATTTTTCGGTTGTTTTCTATTAGTTCTGTTCTCTCCAGAGTTGGACTGTTAAGGGCTATTTTTTGGAGCGGGGCCGAAGACTGCCAACGCTTAATGGTTTTCTGCCCAAAAATACTGTGGTCATGATTTTGTGTATGCATGAATTTATCATAGGAAAATTTTTGTTTTCAAGAGAAAGTTAGAAAAAAGTTGTCCGGAAATTTTAAAGTTCGAAAAAAATGTTTTTTCCAGCAAGTTTTAAAGTGCGAAAAAAAATGTTTGATGGATTTAAATTTATTGACTGTACTATGCGTTATTATTTTTATTATTATTTTGATGGGTGGGCCCTGTTTAACGGAAAATTCAAAATTTTTCAGTTCAGAGTGGCGAGAATTTCGAGGGTTTGTTGATTTAAGGAAATTCTTCGGATGAAAAGTTTTCTTATGTTGCCTTGCTCTTTAGCGTTACTTTTTTTTTTAAATCCCGTAATATTTCAATTTCGTTTTCATTATTACTTCACTATTTTATTTAGTACATGTGTATATTTATAAGCTACCAAAACAAACAAATTATTACATACTTCAAAAACCATCTCAAAATTACGCATACATATACAATATATTGGTGATCGACATATTGCTTACAAATTTTGTTAGAGAAAATATGTACTCAGTAGCATAAAGCACATTCATATGCACCTATTTCCACTCACTCCCCATACATCCCATGCGATTTATTCGATCAGCGCTTTTGCACTCATTTCACTATCGAAAAGCTAAGAAACAAAAAACATAGATAAATAAATAAAAACAGCTTTGAACACCGCCTCACGGCCTTACGACTTCACCACGATTTCGTAGTACACGCACCGCCATAGCGCGCATCAAACATTTCAATAAACCATTAACTTCACACCAACAAAATCGGGTGAGGTAGGTATATATGTATGCATAATAGAAAATATGTATGTATGTATAGTAGATACATCTTGTGCTTCATATATTTATAACATTATCTTAAAGCATTTTCCACCATTTTCACTGATAACTTACATGTGTGCCACTTTTTTCTTAATATTTCAACATTTGTGCACTGCCGTTGGTTACGCAAAGAGTTCGTACACAATTCATCATCACTTGGCAAATGCGTAACAAAAAGACATATTCAAACATACTCAAAATGCACATTTCAATTATCGTAATTTTTTGCCATTACGTTATTGTCATTTTTTCTACAATTCCTACGTTCATTTACGTTTACATCAGTATTGCTTTTTATTTTGAATGTTTATTATCATCTCTGAGGTTCATCTAAGTTCATCTAATCGACGTAATATCAAGGAACAACAAGCAAGTAAAAGCAAGTCAATGGTGTGACGTAAGCAACTGGGAACCATTAGTGAGGTTAGCTACACATTAAGCAAAGGAATTACAAAGTACTCTCGCTAAAAAAAAACGAGAAAGTCAAAAACAAAAAAAAACCGAAAGTAAGTCAGTCAACAAAGCTACAACTATACAACCTACTGAAAACTACAAGTCAAACAACAATCAACACCAAATTTAGTAGAGTAACAAAGTAATAAAAAATTAAAGAAATACAAAAACAAATGCAGGTGCGAAAAACCACTACAACTCGAGAGTCAATCTCATCGTAAAATGGCTAAATTTTAAAAGCGATTAACGCTGCACAAAACAAAGCCGCGCTCACACTCGCAGCAAGCAGGCGCTGATGATGGATGACATTTAGCGAGTACGAGTGATGGGAGAGTGAGTAGTGTCCATGCTTTCGCGCGTAAATACTTACAAAATGGAAAAGCATAGGCTTAGTACACTGCTTTGCAATACAAATTCTAAACAATTGTAATATACAGTACGCATATATTTGTATCTATGTATGTATGTAAAACTTAAAAAACACACACAAAAAGAAAAAACACTTATACTAACTTGTACTTACAAACTAAAATGAACAAAAAAGCAACAATTACTTGTACGTATTCCAACTTTAAGCAAAGAACGAAATTAAAAAAATGCAAAACAAACAAATATAACCATTTGAAGAAATTGCGTTTATGTTAACCATCTTAACACTATTACAACTAACAAAAACAACAAACTGCAGTTTGAAATTGGCGAATTCGACAGCACACATGTATGCACATTTATTTTTAATTGATTTAATTATGTATTGGTGAAAGCGTACATTAGGCTGGTCCAAAGTAAGTAAAGTCGGAATTTTAATGCTCTCGGCCCCTAGGATTGCATTTATTTATAAGGGCAAAAACCATTTTTAGTAGAAATGGTATAGAATTCTTTAAAGTCAATATTTTTCGATCGAAAAACTCTGATTCACTTTAGGAGATTTCTGATAATAATACCCAATTGTTTATTTCCAAGAAAAGTTGTTTTTCTAAACCTCTAAATATTTTTTGATTTCAAAATAAAACAGGGGTAGGCATATTTTTTTATAGAACCATAAATTCCGACTACACTTTTTCACATGCAATTTTGGACCACCCTAATGTACAAAAATGTTTATTCCTTAATCAGAAAACTCATACACATATGCACATGATCTGTGCATTTGAAAACCCTCGAAGCTTGATTTTCGAATTTCCTAAAACTTTGCCAATTTTGAGAAAATTATTCAGTCTTATATCAGTAGCTATTGCCGCTAGTTCACGCCCTGAATAAAATAAGAATAAAACCGTTACTGAGTAAGTTAGCAATTGAGGCCATTAAACATTAAACCCATATATATATGCATGTAAGTATATATATTTTTTTTTTACCCGAGTTTCAAACTTTCTCATTTAAAAAAGCACTGTGAGTTTACTTACATACAATTAAAGTTGAAAATGTGTTTTTTTTTAACTAAATATAATGATTTTCTGCTGGACT